CCCACATAACACAAGCCCAATTTTGATTCCTTTCATTCAGTGTACGATCAGTATTATAGGGTTTTGAAAATTGAATAACTTCAAACAATGTCTACCATGTCATTTTGTGGAATTTAAGAAAATTAAAAACAATGCAAAAACCGATTAATTACCTGGCAGGCAATTCTACTTTTGGCATAGCCGTTCCACTGTTTCGAGCTTTTTTCGCTTCTACGGCTTGATCTGCATCGTCTTTTTCTCGTACTCGTTTTGATCTTCTCACACTCGAACTCTCCTGAGTGTCCTACGGAAAAACAAATACTGAAAATCGGGCAATCACAAATAAAATGATGCTAAACAAATCTAGAAAAGTTACTAAGGAAGCGAAAAAAAAAAACATCAAACACCAAATCTAGCTATGCGGGCGTTGCTGAGCTCAAAATAAAGTGAGATGTAGGAAGTTATAAGCTTAGAAAAATGCAGGAAACAATATAACAAAAAACACCGATTAACCAATGATCAAAACATATAGATTTTTTTTCCTGCACATATTTTAAAAAACAATTTCACTGCATTCCTAATCGAATAATTTCTAGAAAACTTAAAAATTCACCGCTTCTTTATCGATCTCTTGATTGGCTTCATCTTCAATAACCATTTTTCCTGAAAAATTAAACAATTTATTAAGTGAAAGAAACCCCTTTTATGCATTTAAAAATTTAAGCGCAAACTTATTTTTCCAGCAAAAAGCCGATGAACCGACGTGTTAGCTACTCCTCTAAGCAAAGAAGTTCCGAGAGGGCCCCATGCTTCTATTCTCCTAAAAATCTTGTCCATAATGAAAAAAGAAAAAAAAAAACTAAAATGCCTAGATTCCCCTCACAAATTTCACTCCTCTTGCAATCAACTATTCCTTCAGTGCAGTGACAAGATCCCACAGTTTTCATTCTAATTTTCCTCGCATGGAACTTAAAAATTCACCTACTCTTTTGGAGTTTTGAATGCAGTCTTCACCTGCACAACTGCAAATTCTTACGAAATTTTTCTCATTTCCAGCACAGCAATGTGATGTTTTGAGCGAGTGGGAAGCAGTCCGAGTTCGTCAGAAATGTTAAATTCAAAAGTTCATTGGAATATTTTAAAAGAGACGGAGGCACTCAAAAAAACTGAATGAAGCTTTTTTTTTCACTGAATGAGCCGTTGTTCCTGTCCCTCAACATATTAGCCTTTTCTTTTTGCCTATAGGGCCTTTACGGCTCGTACTGCCTTCTACTTCGCTACAGCGCAACCCTATGCTGGCACAGATACTGGCCGGTCGCAGCTCAAACTTGCTCAGTAGATAAAGCATTCAAATTTTTTTTTTATGGTAACATTTTTGCATAAAAATAATCTTGCACAAAGTACAGAAAAAAAAGTGGTGAAAAATCTATGTTGACCTACGGAAATAACTGTCAACATGCTGAAAATACTCAAAAAACCAATGACTAATTCTAAAAATTATAGCGATCGATGTGTTCATCAAAAACTACTTCCAGAAATGCTTACCGGACTGAACTTCTTCTTGTTCCCGTGCGCTTTCGAGTGGCACTATTGGGATTAGTATAAGCGGCTGGCTTTCGGGATCACTTTTTCCATCATGCTGAACAAAACAGCCCTCGTCGTTGCTTCCAAAGCTTAACGTTGGCAATTTGGTGATCTGCTTCGTCAGGAATATGTCCGAATTGCCCGAGTTGGCCTTCCAATCAAATAGCTCGGCAGCAAGTTCATCACTGCTTTTCTTGCAATCCGGATCCGCCAGGACTGCATCA